TGTTAGGCTACTCTATTGCCCTACATTAGTAATAATCTAGCTTATGGCCTGATGATCCGTTCTTTTTATAAATCTATTATATCAATGTCCCTTGGAAGAGACCGTCGGGTGTAAAGGGTTAACAAAAGACTGGGAGCCATACCTAAATATTCATCGATTGATGCTATTTGCGTGCCTAGTTTATGTCATGAATATGTAGTTTTCGATTTTTGGAAACTTTTTTTTCGAGACGTCTTTTTCTTTTGGGAATACTTAGTCAACCGTTTCAACGATACTTCAAAACTCAAAAAAACAATGATATTTACTTTTTTTTGGTATTTAGATTTTTCGACTTGAGTTTTTCGTCTGAACATCCAAATTAGTTTGAATACGAATAAAATCATTGAGGTCTTAATCATGTTAGAACGTGTTCCTATCGGAGTTTTGAGGTAGTTCAGGTTTTCTAGATTTTTCCACATGAAAAAAACATTTCGAAAAACTACGTATTCGTGATCAGCTCGAAAACATCCATCGAATGCTGTATCATAAATCCGGAATACAATTTTACTTCATTTTTGTATTAGCTACACCTTATTTCTAAAAGAAACGCGTTCCGCTTTTTTATCATTTTCGAAAGACGTTTTTCATGATTTCAATGACCCTGGCTCTTCGCGACTCGTTTGCGGCCACGTCTCAGAGGAAAGGACAAAACTTTGAACAAGTTTTAAAAGATGATAAATTTATATAGATATTGTCTCGCACGAATTTCGCTATTTTCCAATTCCATTCGCTTCTGTGACATATTTTGAGCTAGTTATCTTGCCAACTATCAGTCTAGTGCGGGCCGTGGCCAATCCATGAAATAAAACAACTTGAGCATTACAAACATGCCTACCGGTTGTACTCTGTATGAGCACTGGACAGGCCCATCTCGATATCAAAAATCATAAAGGACAAACCGCCCACTTTTCAGATGACTCATCGATTTAAACGCATTCGAACCGTTTTTCTCATGGAAATAAGAAATCACGTTCGAACGCGTGTTTTCTTACATTATCGTACGGAATGCGCTCCAAGGGTGTATATTCGCCATTATTTGAAATGGTATGACATGGAATGTGTTTGGACGTATTTGTTTTAATGAGATAAGCGTGCTTGATGAGATATTCTGTGCTTCCTCTACGGACGGAAAAATCATGCGGTTCTTATTATTTGTGAAACGCGAGGGATGCCAAGTCTATTTTCAAGTGACTATGTCACGAGTACCCCAATGTAACCGTGAAACTGTATACTTATAATACAGATGTAAGCGAATCAAATGTCGTTCGTAATAGTACAAGACGCGGCGAAATTATTGTAGCTGCGAATTTGGCTGGTCGTGGTACAGATTGAAAACCAGTAAACACGTGGAAGACAACAGTGGATTGCACGTTTTCCTGACATTCATGCCGATTGATCTACACGTTCAACAACAAGCATCCGGCCTGACATCGCGACAAGGTAATCGTGGTACTTCACAGCTGATTTTGAACACAAACAATGCCGTCTCTCGTCTCTTACCTATCTATCCTGACTTCATTAACAAACATCCAGACTTTGCAATGAACGACTTACGAAACATCGAATACATACACGATTGACGCGAAAAAGCTGAAGCGACACAATAGAGTAAAATTTTTACATTGGAAATAGTCGAAATTAACTCGATAGAAGTTTTTTTATCACACAATCTAACATGGAAATTTCATATTTCTAATGTAGCGAAAAAGTGTAGACAGATGTTAAGCGCAATGCACCGTACATTTAACAGCGCACAATCCTCTCTACGTCTTCACATCTTTGAAACATGCATAATGCCAGTCGTGGACTATTGTTCTGTTGTTTATGATACTACTGCAAAAATGCATTTACACCCACTAGTTTCTGTTCAAAAAGTGGCAGCCAGAATAATCTGTAATACCTACGAAACCAGCAGTTCATTACTGATGAATAAATTAAATTTTCCTGATCTAACTGAAGACGAAAATATTTTCGTTTGTGACATTTTCATAAAATTATGATATACAGAAGCGCTCTATCAAGATTTAACATGATCACACCTTTAACTAGCAGAGCGTGCGATAGACTGAATAATCGGTGCCAGTGGACTATCCCTAAGACAAGCTTAGAAGCAACTAAACACTCTTTTCTTCCCCGTACATGTACGAAGTGAAACCTCTTGCCACAATCTGTCATATCCCAATTTGCTAGAGGAGCTTTTAGGCGAAGGCTTAGGCTGTATTTGAATATGTAGTTTTACAACGGTAATTAAAATCTGTAATTCTCTGTTTAAAGTTTTATTTTTCTCTTTATTTGTATGCCAAAAGCATGGAAAAGATCACAGTAAAAAGCACGTAATATATGTTGTTTCGTCTATATGCTCAGAAAACATGGTTTAGATCTCGAAACTTGGTCCAAATGTAACTAAACATGTGCATGTTACATAATACAGTCACCAAGGAACACATCGCAGTATTTGACAGTCTATAAATTCTTTATAATCACATACATTTTTAATACTGGAATGTCTCGCAGAAATTGGTAATTTGTACAATTATTACTAGTGATAATATCTCATCATTCATTAAAAGTCATAATGTTTGTACATTGAGTAGAATGTTCCAGTATTTCTCTACCTATTTTTATTTTTTTGATTAAAATATTGAAACTGAACATTTACTGAAAAACTAGCATAAATTAGATGAAGAATAAAGATAGTTTATGCACACAGAAGTATTGCGAGATCTAAAGCATGTTTATCTTAGTATAAGCCTGATTAGATTTTTTTCCGTGATCTAATCAATGATTTCGCCATAAAAAAATTTATTTTCCGTTATCGAGGTCTTTTACCTGATTTTGATTAAAAATTTGTCAAATAGGATCGAAAGTATGCCATTTCCGTGATCTCTTAAATTCATGCCCGATTTTAAAATGCATCAACACATTTTCAGCTAAATTGGCGATTAACGTTTAAAAAAGTCATACTTTCTTCTTTTATATGCAGCAGCTAAATAAACTCTTTTTGACTATCGTGACTTTCCGGCTTTCTCTTCGGTCGATGATAATCGAAGATAATATGTGTTCAAACTCCACTTATTCACTGAATAATCACATCAGTTTTATGCAGAAAATGAAATAAAGTAGAAATGAAACATCAAAATACGATAAAATCAAAATTTCGTGCTGTTTTTTTAGAAAAGTGTATCTTAAGATCTTCACCTCTTATTTTCTCGCATCTTTATTTCTGTATTACTATTGCCAAACATGAATTAATTTATGTCTGGTTCGCAACATCTTGAATAATATCCCAACAAGCTGAACTGGGACGTATGTTTAAACTGAATATTCGATGAAAATAGTATTTGTTCTTCTTTTATATTGAATTTAATAGAAAAGTCGTCCTATATGGATGTCGTGTGCTTCATTTATCTTATTTTGGTACATAACAAAGACTCCATGCATACCGTTGTTAGATCTATTCATTTATCTTAGAGGAGACCCTGTCTGTAGAAACCGGTTTTATTATCTATAAAGTACCAAGTGACTTCGTATATTTCGAAGTTTCATTATCGATTAATGTTTAATGGTCTTTTACGTTTAAATTCTTTTTCGTTTTGATTAAAACAAATAAAAAAATGCTGTTATGTTAAATGCTGATAGTGAATAGATTTTATGAAGTGGATTTTACCTATCTATAATAGAATATATTATCGATTAAGCTTTATTGTTATAGAAGGAGCATAAATACCACTTTATTCAAGTATTTTATCGAGTCTTGAAGAGAAATTTAAGGTTAGCTCGATTAAATTTTATTTGTCAAGAAAACTGATAACAGTCTTGCGCAAGACCGTGGCAACTCTATCAGAAACTTAGAATAAAATTAAAAGAAGCTCACTGTCGAATTTGCCTTGAAATTCTGCCTATATCACATTAGGCTAATGAAATTTGGTGCAGCGCCGCAAAAGCACCTAATTCTCTACTGATGCACTAATGTGCTTAATCTCAATATTGACTCTTTTACAAAACTTTCTTATTTCTGAGATAGAGGCGTTAAATTTTATTTAGTATATGTATTCCACATCTATGAGTCACGATACCTGCTGTTCTGTTGACGGAATCAATTGTTCTTTTCGTTTAGTATTACTAGTATCTTTCTTTATGACTCTAATTAAATTTGGTTTAAACAAGTTTATTTGGTTTCATCACAGCAACAATCCGGGTAAAAATCCATTATATGTTGCCTGGATGGTACAAGTGAATAAAAATGAAAAGACAGGACGAGAAAATAAACGTTAGTTTGTAAAGTTACAATTAGCATGAGGTGATAAAAATACGAGTAAGTAACACTGAACATTGGACATAGCGGGACATATGTGTCTCTCACATCACCATTATGGCAAAAAAGAGATTGTGGGATAAACGACAGAATGTCCGTCAATTAATTGGACTGTGCATTGTTCGCGTGTACTGGAATGCCTCCATAAGGCGAACAGAATCGAAGTATTCTCGTAGAAGAATAAGTCTACCCTGTTCTGCCTTTGCATACACGATGTAATTCTGATGATAAGTCTTTTGTGTGGCAAGAACTTTGCACGTGACCTCATATTCAGCAAACGCTTCGGAAGGACTAACAACAGTTACTTTTGGCCTAGTAAATTGCATACCTTCACAGCCATTTATGAACAGTTCTACGGCTTCCACCATTGCATCCAAGCCGATTAGTTTAGTTGGCATACCACAGGATGCGCCATAAGGAAGTTCCCAGACGCCATTGACTGCAAAAATAGATGAGCGCCAACGAGCAACGTCGCCCTGAGCGATGAGATTAACATGTTCATTAATTAACTCGGCAGCACTCAGATGAACTGGATCAGCGGCAGCACCAACAGGAGATGACATAGCACAACAAAAATGCTATTTATCTTATAGTGTATCTTATCAACTTAATAATTATTTTCGAGAAATTGAAGAGAAAAAGGAAAGAGAATACCACTTTTTAACAAAAATGAGAAATTCAACGAAGCGTTTCAAAATATGTAAGTAAGATAATCGTTCTATGCACGAAATGCACGTTTCCATATGACTAATTACAAATGCGACGCACACTGAGACAAGACACAGTGGAGTTCGTTTTATCATTGTAATAGTGGGAGTTCATCTAAGAAGAAAAATGTGTTCTCTACGACAAAAGGATATTTTCATTTTTGCGAACTGAATGCCCTCCTTTAATTCACCAAACGTCTCAACACAAATAACGCTATTCCACTTTGCACACAACATGTATACTTTCCTTTTATCTCTGGTTAGAAAAATGCTATTAGCGCTTGCCTTCCTTACAGAATAGAAAATGACAAATTTTTCAAGATATTCGACCAATTTTCCAACGTCACCAGACTGCGTTAACTAGCAGCTTCGTCTGTCCTCAGATCAACGAACACGTCAGAAGTTTGATTTATGGCAGAGCTACAGTTAGAGTTGAGACAGAAATTGCCAAAAAAGCTATAACCCTCTGAAAGCATTTATTTCAGAACTTTAATTAATCTCTGTCGATTAGGATGATATATATATCGCCTTTGGGCGATCACAAATTAACGTTCAGAGAAATCCGGCTGTGAACAACGAAATTTAGTTATCTATCTTTTTGTTGTTACAACAATAGAAAGAGGAACGTGTTCAAAAGAGAGGTTTTAAACTATTCATTCACAGTTACAATGAAGCTGAATTAACAGTTCAACAACAACATGTATACTTTTCTTTTATCGTTAAAAGCCATTTATCAGCAAATGTATTTGAAGAAGATTCTTTCATATAGATTTTTAAAGGATAGATAAATATTAAAAATATGACAGTATGTGGAATCCATTGTAAAAACCTAACTGATAAGTGCCCACAAACCTGGTTTCGGTTCTAAACATCCTTGACGTTCACCGATTTGAAAGAATAACATTGAACCAAACTGACTTAGTAGAATCAAGGTCGGTGATATAAAATAATCGCGATGCTCTGAAAGTTGTATACACCATGCATGCCAATATGTAATCTCATATGTATGATTTCTTGATAAATAAACTTTACGTCTTGCAATACTAACTAAAAGAGGAAAAGAAACTGCTTGGTCTAACCAGCGTCGATTTTTG